TCGTAATGAGTGATTTTCGTGTGCAAGTTCGGTACTAGTCCCTCTAGGATTTTCCAGGTGTATATAATCATGTATCTCTCCCTGAAAAGTACGACTAATGGAAGAAAACATTCAAATTCTGACTTACGATTCCCTCTGAATGGAGCTATTAACCTAATTTAAATGATGACTTTATGTATCTTCTTGGTGGAAGTTTTAATACAACTCGTAACTCAGTTATCAACGTAACACAACTGCCAATGTAACACACAGCAACGTTACACAAGTGACAACGTAGTACGACTGGCAACGTAACACAAATGTCAACGTAACACAACTGTTACACGAAACGTCTTCTCTTAACAGCCATAAACAGAGCTATGAAGGTGACGACTGGCAACGTAACCCAACTGGCAACGTAACAGAGCTGACAATGTAACAGAACTGGTCCTGTATGACCCTAAAGGGTTTAGCGCTTGGTTATAATAATAATAATAATAATAATAATAATAATAATAATAATAATAATAATAATAATAATAATAATAATAATAATAATAATAATAATAATAATAATAACAGAACTAGTAAGGTAACGGAGAGTTCCGTGATGAGCTTACCCATCTGAGCGCTGGTTTCAAAGTCCGCTGGACTCAGTGGTTCTCCAGGGATGTCGGTGTCTATCTGCAAGAGAGAGAGAGAGAAGAAAATTTACACACACACACACACATATGGTATAAACCTTGGTAATAAATACCGACAAGTTGGTTTAGAAAGACACGTAAGCAAACACTATGACATATTTATTAGAAAACGTTTCGGTCCTGGGACCTTGATCACTTCTAACCAAGTGAATCAAGGTCCCAGGACCGAAACGTTTTCTAATAAATATGTCATAGTGTTTGCTTACGTGTCTTTCTAAAACACACACACACACACTAAAAAAACTAACAATATATATATATATATATATATATATATATATATATTATATATATATATATATATATATATATAAAGATTCCCCAAAATGCTATGGATGTTCTATAAATTCCTTATAAAATTTGCGATAAAGTTTTACGGTCAAACTGTAAATCTCGAACTAAGTTAAACACATAATATAGCATTACAACTGACAGATTCATGCCTATTTATTATGTAAAGATTTTAACCCTCAATTGATTTAGGATGAGAACTAGTATCAACAATCCATGGTCGACAGGAATATAATTGAATCTTGTTCATAAAAAGCAGTTTAAATAATAATATTTCTTTGGTTATATAAATTAATCATTATAATTAATAAATAAGATAAGAAAGATAAGATAAGATTTCGTTGGATTTTTAACCCGGAGGTTAGCCACCCAGGATAACCAGAAAGTCATGCGTCATCGAGGACTGTCTATTATTTCCATTGGGTCCTTAACTTGTCCCCAGGATGCGACCCACACCAGTCGACTAAAACCAGGTACTATTTGCTGCTAGGTGAACAGACAACAGGTGTAAGGAAACGTGTCGAAATGTTCACCGCGAATCGAACCCGGGCCCTCCGTGTTGAAGCGAGCTTAGCCACCAACCACCGGGACAATAATTTTTAAAATTTCTCTGGGTAGAATACTTGGGTGAGTTGTCAAAGGACTATCCAAGTTGGCTCGCCGGGCACGGTTAACCGTTTGATCTGATAGTGAGTGCTGCCGGACCTTAAAGCTTCCTTGATGCTTCACTTCATAGTTCTTATAATGTGATAGTCACAAGCGCTGGAATTCCATCTTTCAAGGGTGTTTCATATTTGAAACACACTGTTTACTGTGACTTATTGCATATATATATATATATATATATATATATATATATATATATATATATATATATATATATATATATATATATATATATAATATATATATATATATATATATATATATATATATATTTGTGACGGCAATGACTGATGCTCCTGGTTTTTGATCTCGTTGCGTCGATCACTTGTTGAATGATTGAAATTATTTTACATTTGGATGGATTAGGGATGAGACCTAATTCCTTTCCCCCGTGTCATCACCTGTGTAAGATCATCTAGGAGGGACTCCTTTGAACCCGCCAATGTGCCATCATCCAGCAACCAGATGTTTAGCTCACTGGCCAGCCTGACTGTGATTTCCCTAACCGCTATACAGAAGAGAAATGGTGCGAAAGGATCCCCTTGCTGGATACCCTCTGATGATATGATTTCATGCTCTCCAAACAGGAGTGTTGAAACAAAAGGCAAGAGACGAGGAGGAAAATATTCATGTACAGATGTTAATACCACGTCTCTTTTTCAGGAGATTAAATGCATTATTGAAATCCAGTTTTACTACTGCATTGTCTTCAGGCAGGTTGTGTATATACGTTCTTGTTGTATGAACCGCTGCTTCACTTCCTTAAGAGACCCCAGAGCCAAGCTGGTTTGGTCGAAGCATCATGGCTGCCTCTGTACGAATATTTCGGACAGCAGCTTTGGAAACGAGGTGGCAAAAAGTGTTCCCCACGGCAATTAGCCGTGGGTGATTTGTACTTATCTCAGTGTTGAACTGTACTTAGTTTTGTCACGACGTGACTAGTGTGCTCTCCGTTCTTAGCTACCTGAGATTGTGATGATGGCTTCCCTCGACTATGAGCAGCTATATCTCCAGCTTAAGACAGAATTAACGGAAGCAAGAAGAGAAATTCAACTACTGAAAGGTAAGTACAAGGATTATCCCGGGAACAATGTTACCGATGATGGGACCACAAGCAGTTCTAAGCCCTTTTGCTTCATATGTAGTGAAACAATTGCCTTAGTGAAGACCAGTCATATGAAACGCCATTATTTTTTTTACATAATAAAACATTGTGTATAAAATGTATCCGAACCTTTGCATACATTGGTACTTGTCGAAGTGGACCTTTGCTCATAGTAGTTAAGTATCCCTGGTATACCATTTTCAAATTCAAATTCTACTACGTTTAGCATAGATCAGTAAATATTTGTTAAATATTTCTTAAAATCAATTTTATGAATAAAATACTTAGGATATCGAATTAAGTAAGAACCAGAAACAACGTATTTAAATTAAATTTAGATTTAGAAAGGACGTAGGTAAGTACTGGTTTTCAGAGTTGTGGATGCGTGGAACAATCTTCCGAGTAGGGTGGTAGAGGCTAGGACCCTGAGTAGCTTTAAAAAGAGACTGGACAAATATATGAGTGAGAAGGGCTGAGTTTGATTAATTCCTGAGGTATTGAAGCAAATGCTTGAGTAGCCTTGGAAAAAAGTTGGACATGTAGGTTGAATGTAGTGCGTTATTTTGAGAAAGACTTACTTAGTATGGACCAGTAGGCTTGCTGCAATGTTATTCCAGTCTTATGTTCCTATGTTCTTATGTGCAGATTGATCTCCGCTGATTTATGGCAAAAACAAATTTTCATTGTGCCAATTCTACCAATCACTTTCCATCATTACCACCAACTACATATCATTACTACCAACCATATAATATCATTACTACCAACCATATATTATCATTACAACCAACCACATACTATCATTACCACCACTACATATCATTACTACCAACCATATGCTATCATTACAACCAACACATACTATCATTACTACCAACCACATATTAACATTACCACCAACCACATGTTAACATAACTACCAACCACATTCTGTCAATACCACCAATGTCCACATATTATCATTACCACCTACAAGATAATAACATTTCTACGAACTACATACTATCATTTCTATCAACCACATAATATCACTGCTAAAAACTACATATGATCATTGCTACCAACAAATTAATCTTATCAGGACTACCATACAATATCAGAATTATCATCCACACTGTAGAAAGATTACCATCACTGAATGTTATCACAACCAATTGTGTAATATCATGACAACCATTCAAAATATATCTAGTCTATCAACAACAAAATATAATTTCTTCCCACTGCAGTAATCATAAACAAAATTTTTGAAGGGGGTTGACTGGTAAACCAGTGGAAGACCTCGATTAGATGAACAAAAGCTCCTGCAGTGGGCCATCCTATGACTAAGACCCGCGTTAGGAAACACTTGTCCTATTTCCTGCCAAATTTTACCTAATCTTCCCACTACACGATCTCTGGTCTACAAACAACACCGTGTCGTGATACCCTATTACACAGTGTCTTGACTACCAACTACACAGTGTCATGACTATCAACTACACAGTGTTGTGACTACCAACTACACAGTGTTGTGACTACCAACTACACAGTGTCGTGAATACCAGCTACACAGTATCATGATTACTAACCGAGTCAGGAGTTCCCAAGGGAACTTGTGGAAGGGTATTTGGGTCTAGCTGTGGTTCCTCTAAAATCTGTACATTAGGATCTGAAGATCTAACCAGCGCCTGTACTGTGGTTGTCCACGTTAATACAACCACAGCTACTGCAACACCCATTCTGCAAAAGAGAAATATAATTATTATTGTTCTTATTTTTCTGTAATTATTATTATTATTAATGTAACAGCTACAGGGTTTCATATTTCGCGTTCATGTTGACAGGCCTAGTGTTGCCGTCTGGTGGGCCTAGTAGGCTGCAGCAGCACATGGGTGACCACCGTGATAGGCTCAGGGTTGATGTGTATCACTACTACTGTCGACAAAGGGCAGAGTATGGGAAAGTTCGCGCGCATTTTAAGTAAATAAATGATGGACAGTTCAAAAAGTGGTTTATTTTCTTGGTTCCACATTGTTAAAAAAAAAAATGACTATAAAATGGTGATTTTTGTCACATGTTGATTGACTGACAGTGATTAAAATATTTTCTCTACTGAAGAAAGTGTCTTCACTAAAGAAAGTGTATTGCTGGAAAACATACTACAAAATAGTGTGGGCCATGGCCCGCTGGCCCACACTCTTCCTACACCCGTGTCCACTAATGTACGTATGTAACAAACTGACGCTTTAAACCACTCATCTTCGGATGTCTCATAACGTCAGGTATCCTGCACGATCGTAAGCAATGTTTTTCCTAACGGTGAACACAGAAGTGCACCTCAGGGATGGTCTCCATCTATTTTATTCTCCTCCTGTATGTACTTGCCCCACGAGCAATATTATACTTAATGCTTTCCGAAGAAAAAGGCGAAATATTGGGAAGAAATGTCGCAGCCATCAATTTGTAAACCAGACCCGCCAGTTGTCCGCGAGTGTAGAGAGCCGACAAAATGACGCTTTAAACTACTCAATTACAGATGCCTCATAACTTCAGGCATCCTGCACGATCGAAAGCAATGTTTTTCATAACATCACTGACCACAAACATGATATCCAACTATTCCATTCTTCTGTTTATTCCGGCCTCACAACGATTTCCAGAAAAAATTAAATATTGGCAAAGAAACATTTCAGCCATGTACACGAGTGTATGTAACGCAGAAACCTACGCTTTAAACCATTCAATTACAGATGCCTCATAACGCTCGGTATCCTGCAGGATCACAATTCAAGTATCTTCTAGCCCTGGGCACACCAGTGAGCCTCTGGCATGCTCTCCAACTATTTAATTCTCCTCCTGTATGTTCTAGCCTCATGAACGATATTATGCTTAATGCTCCTCTCAGAAATAAGAGAAATATTTGCAAAGAAATGTCACAGCCAGCAGGATTCGAACCCACCACCACCTCTCCACGTGAATATATAGCTGATACTCATGTTTTAAACCACTCGGCTACAGCTGCCTCATAATTTTAATTAGGCTGCAGAATTGCAAGCATTGTTCCTCTTAAAACTGGTCACACCAGAGGGCCTCAAGCATGGCCTGTAGCTGTCTCATTCTCGTCTATTTTCTGGCTTCATCATCTATACTACACTCAGTACATTCCGCAAAAACAAACTAACAATTTGCAAAGAAATATCACGGCCAGCAGGATTCGAACCCTGACCCGCCAGCTCTCCACTCGTGTAGATAACTGATATACTACTCAGCCACAGATACCTCATAATATTTACAATAATAATAATAAATTTTTATTATAATTATTATGTTGGTTTTTCAGAGTCTATTGAAAATCGTGCCTTTGAAGATTTATAAATGCGATGTAGTATTTTAGTTGTTGGTGCTGCTGGTTCTAGGGCTGTTTCTAAAGATGGTGTTAAGACAGATCTAGAAACTAAACCAGCTGTAAGCTCTGTCCCCACTAACCAAAACTAACGGAAATTCGAAATGTGTAAATTATGTTTTCTGTAAATACGTAATGTCCAGGAAACACAAATGGAGCATATAAAAGATTTATACGTTCCTCCAAAAATGCCTTGTTCTCCTGAACAAAAGCATCTGCCGTTCCTCCTCCTGCAGACCTTTTTACCCTAAAATGCGTTATGCATTGGATTATTAAGGGAACATAAAATACAAACCATGAGTGTAAAGAAACTATGGTATTTCCAGTATTCAAAACTCAGGCATTTTGTTAGTGCTACCAGGCTGGAAAAAATATGGTAAGAACTTGACTAAAATGTTTCACGACCTTTTATCCTTATAGTATGAGAGAGACGGTAAGTGGCCTCTACGCCAATATCGCAAATAATAATGTTAGCAAACAAGTCCCACAGCAGCCAAAATATACAGATATTCAGCATAACAGTAGCAAAATACCGTTTATTAATCGACTCTTCACTGAGTCAAAAGCAATATTTGCAGCTCTCACAGAGACCTACATAAAGGATCACTTTGACAATGAAATATGGATACCCGTGAACAACTAACCTGGATGCGACTGAAGGAAGAGACAACAGTCGCAGGAAGGAAAGAGAGGGGAAGTTACCCTGCATGTCAGGGTTGCTCATATATACAGTGTTACTTAATACCAGAAATGGTGAAACTGATCTTCTGGATACAACTCCCAGCAGATCAGAGACTTCTATTAAATTGTGCATGTATGGTACACTATACCGACAAAATGAAGAATTAGACACATGTGCAACATCTGGATATCTTTATTGTAGACGTTTCGCCATCCAGTGGCTTTATCAATATAAATTCAAAGACATAACTAGAAGAACCATATGCAAAAGATGAGACAATCAGCCCCTCTGAAGAGTACCGTTGGTGAAGAGTACCGTTGGTGAAGAGTACCGTTGGTGAAGAGTACCGTACTCCAAGGCTGAGGGACTGATTACCTCATCTTTTGCATATAGTTCTACCGGCTTCTAATTATGTCCTTGAATTTGTATTGATAAAGCCATTGAATGGCGAAACGTCTACAATAAAGATACCCAGATATTGAACGAGTGTCTAATTCTTCGACTTGCTATCAGATACTCAGTGAATACTCTCTGGAAAATCATTCACCTCCAGCAGAAGCATCTTGCTTAGTGCTTTTAATTCAAATCATTAAAAATTGAAGAATGCAATTAATATTTGAATAAAAATAATCCCAAGAGAAAAGTCAGATGAATAGTCTCATACAAACTTCTGATTTTATTATATATTCGCTAATAATGATGTAGTGCGATATACAGTATTATAGGATAATAAAGTCAGATCACACCCTAAACAAAGATCAGACCTGCATGTACACTGGTCCTGATCAGCACTCGGGAGGGTTATTCACCAATTCATCTTTTACAAGATCATCAAACGAGTGAATTATATCCTTAATGAAACATGCTGGGACGAATTAATGAATAATATAGATCCGAACCAATGCCTAGAGAGGATTCATTCTGTGACACAAGTATGCTCAAGGGCACATACTGATAATGGAAAAGGAGAGAAGGTATAAGCTAGAATGTAAGCTCATCTACTGGCAAAGATGAAGAACCACAGAATTTTCTCAGGATGCTAGAACTCTGAAGTGTAAAAGGAAACACTGGCTACAGAAAGAGAAGATACTGAACTGAAACTCAATGAGATATATAGACAGAGTGAAGGATTCATGACGGATTCATTCGAAATATCAATCTTTGGTTTGAATAACAGTTCACCGAACACAAAGTCACACTGAGACTTCGATATTTCACTCGTATCTTCACTATCGTCAGTTTAAGCTCCATTTCGTTTAAGCAAGACTTCGATATTTCACTCGTATCTTCACTATCGTCAGTTTAAGCTCCATTTCGTTTAAGCAAGTACCCAATACTGGATGTGGCTTTTACCATGGATTGTGCATCATATATCCCAGCGTTACTGGACACGGAGGATATCCCCCTCACAAAACGAAACTAACAACGCTCATCTACTGAAGCGATACTGGACACGAGGGATACCTCCCTTACATAACACACAGTAACGAAATTATTCAGACAGTGGCTATAACCAGGAAATACAGTAAGTGCAGTGACCTATACACGGCGGCACACACGCGCACTGCAACTTTCTGATGTTCTGTTATTAATTTACATATGTGCGGGTGATACATAAGTGTTATTGCCTTAATACCAGTAGTATGTAGCCTCTTCGTGTGTGTGTGTGTGTGTGTGTGTGTGTGTGTGTGTGTGTGTGTGTGTGTGTGTGTGTGTGTGTGTGTGTGTTTATTAATATTTTTATTATTAATTATAAATAAATAATAAATAACAGTAGTAGTAAAAGTAGCGTAGTAGTAGTAGTAGTAGTAGTAGTAGTAGTAGAGGTAGTAGAAGTAATAGTAGTAGTAGTAGAGGCAGTAGCAGTAGTAGATGTAGTAGTAGTAGTAGAAATAGTAAAAGTAGTAGTTGTAGCAGTAGTGGCACTAACATTAGTAATAGTAGTATTGCCACCAAAACTTCTGTTATTCAAATGTCGCAGCAAAGATTCGCAAAAATCTTTGACCGAGAGCCTTGACGTGACACAGTATGAAAATCAAATCGCTGAAAGCTTATTACAAACAAAGAATAATGTCACAGCTCAGAACAACGGGTTTAAAGTAGATTGTTCGTATCTCTCGCAGTTGCTGGAATATTAGGACATGGTCTTCGAAATACTGGAAGACATTATTCACAGTCTTTGCTGTATACACAGATTGTTTGCAATTGTGTTTATGATGCAATAGCTTGTAAAGTGTGTGGCAAAAGGAATAACTGGAAAGTGGGCAGATGGAGATTTATTTTTTCTAACACACCGAAGACGAAGATTAATAACAAAGTTGAGTCAGAGGTTGTCACAGTGAGGAGCTCCGTTACTCGTCTTCCTGGTGGTCTTTCCGAGGGTCAACGCCCCCGTGGCCCAGTCCTTGGTCAGGCCTATCGGTGGATCTGGGTCTGATCAAACAGGCTGTTACTCCTAGCCGTAAGCAGTCTAACATACGACCCACACAGCCCAACTAATTGGCCCAGGGGTATATTAATAATGGTAGGAGACTGTTGAACAATCTTGTGCGTTCTCTTAGTGAACTCACGGAACCTCCCCCCCCCCTGCTTTTTATTGTGAGTACTTTGCACCGTCTGCCTTGTTTTTTCTTCGTAATAAGTCATTTCTGTGAACAGAATTGGGAGCAGTCCCTCTAGGATTTTAGAGGTGTAGATAATGAAGTACCTCGCCTGCATTTCAGAGAGTACAGGTCAAAAGACTTCTAACTTTCTCAATAATGAAGATGCTTGACTGAAAATACATGTGCAGTGAAGGTTCTCTGGACATTATCGTGGCTCAGTTCTCACTCCAATCATACTCTCATTCTCCCATTCTTGAAAATGATGTAGAGACAACTGAGATAGTTAACCATCACAAAAAAAATAATCAGTATATGTATAAGAGAGTATAAAACAAATTCAGGCACTCATTACAGCGGAAGAAAAATGTAAATGAGGGATAAATGTCAAAATATATCAGGTTCAAGGTTCATAATGTTATTATCATAACTGTAAGGAAAATGATGTCATGTGACTCGTAAAGCCTGAAACAGAATATTACTGTACACAAACATCCACTTCTAAAGCAGGCGACATAGCAGATTTCGAGAATGCATGGAGAACTTTCACTGCCTGCATAAATTCTGTCAAACGCTTAACTTATTGGGAATGCTTGAAGTCCCTTCAACTGTACTCCCTAGAATACAGGCGAGCGAGAAAGATACTTTATAATATATGTGAAAAATCTTGGAGTGGTTCAAAATTTGAAAAGAAAAAAAATCCTTGCGATAGTAAGAGGTTTGGCAGTTGCAGTAAAATACCTCCAATAAATGTAAAGGCCTCAGGATGTCTTTAACACCCTCCCTTCATGTATATAAAGAGACTTACCAACAGACTTCTGTGTTCAGGAGTTAACTGAATAAGATCCTCAGCCAGTTCCTAATGAGCTGAACTGTGCTGCTTCGTTCGACTACTTACTCCTAGCACCAAGAACTTGATTAATTACGTTATCAATCAGACAGCAAGATCTGTAACAAGCCACGGCAGCAGTCACCTTCAAAATTAGCTACACGTAAAACCGACAACAGGAATTTTGTGATACACTTGTAAATTATATTTATTATTTTTTTTTTTTATTATCACACCGGCCGATTCCCACCAAGGCAGGGTGGCCCGAAAAAGAAAAACTTTCACCATCATTCACTCCATCACTGTCTTGCCAGAAGGGTGCTTTACACTACAGTTTTTAAACTGCAACATTAACACCCCTCCTTCAGAGTGCAGGCACTGTACTTCCCATCTCCAGGACTCAAGTCCGGCCTGCCGGTTTCCCTGAATCCCTTCATAAATGTTACTTTGCTCACACTCCAACAGCACGTCAAGTATTAAAAACCATTTGTCTCCATTCACTCCTATCAAACACGCTCACGCATGCCTGCTGGAAGTCCAAGCCCCTCGCACACAAAACCTCCTTTACCCCCTCCCCCAATCCTTCCTAGGCCGACCCCTACCCCGCCTTCCTTCCACTACAGACTGATACACTCTTGAAGTCATTCTGTTTCGCTCCATTCTCTCTACATGTCCGAACCACCTCAACAACCCTTCCTCAGCCCTCTGGACAACAGTTTTGGTAATCCCGCACCTCCTCCTAACTTCCAAACTACGAATTCTCTGCATTATATTCACACCACACATTGCCCTCAGACATGACATCTCCACTGCCTCCAGCCTTCTCCTCGCTGCAACATTCATCACCCACGCTTCACACCCATATAAGAGCGTTGGTAAAACTATACTCTCATACATTCCCCTCTTTGCCTCCAAGGACAAAGTTCTTTGTCTCCACAGACTCCTAAGTGCACACCACTCACTCTTTTTCCCTCATCAATTCTATGATTCACCTCATCTTTCATAGACCCATCCGCTGACACGTCCACTCCCAAATATCTGAATACGTTCACCTCCTCCATACTCTCTCCCTCCAATCTGATATTCAATCTTTCATCACCTAATCTTTTTGTTATCCTCATAACCTTACTCTTTCCTGTATTCACCTTTAATTTTCTTCTTTTGCACACCCTACCAAATTCATCCACCAATCTCTGCAACTTCTCTTCAGAATCTCCCAAGAGCACAGTGTCATCAGCAAAGAGCAGCTGTGACAACTCCCACTTTGTGTGTGATTCTTTATCTTTTAACTCCACGCCTCTTGCCAAGACCCTCGCATTTACTTCTCTTACAACCCCATCTATAAATATATTAAACAACCACGGTGACATCACACATCCTTGTCTAAGGCCTACTTTTACTGGGAAAAAATTTCCCTCTTTCCTACATACTCTAACTTGAGCCTCACTATCCTCGTAAAAACTCTTCACTGCTTTCAGTAACCTACCTCCTACACCATACACTTGCAACATCTGCCACATTGCCCCCCTATCCACCCTGTCATACGCCTTTTCCAAATCCATAAATGCCACAAAGACCTCTTTAGCCTTATCTAAATACTGTTCACTTATATGTTTCACTGTAAACACCTGGTCCACACACCCCCTACCTTTCCTAAAGCCTCCTTGTTCATCTGCTATCCTATTCTCCGTCTTACTCTTAAT